AATGACCAAACTAAGATCTTAGTGGAGAGAGCAGAAAGAGAAGATTTGGCAATGTTAAAAAAAAGATGGCATGATAAACAGTATTTCTGAATATCTACAGTCTCAAATGTGAGCTTTTCTGAGCTTTAAGATCTTCTGGGAAGCCTCTTCTATAAGCCCCACCAGCTCCATATGCACAAGTGTTGCACATACAGGAGAAGACCATCTTGGTGGCTACTCCCAGGCTTTGAAACATCCTCCTTGAGAAAACGAGAATACTCCCTCCTTGCTATCCTTCCATCAAGTAAAAACTTTCAATGCAGTTAGAAGCTAGCTTCAAATTGCAGTAGCCAGACAACAAACTCCCACAAAAACACACAAAAGAAAGCCCTTAAAATGCATCATCACCATCCAGGCCTCAAACTGGTTCCAGGATTTCCTCTATAATAATCTGTACATTGAAAGCACTTTTCCTGAGTTTCCTCAATACCAGTTTGAAAATGCATTACATGTTCAGTGTAGATGGGGTCTGACTATTACTGCACCCTTCTGTTTTCATGGCAAGTTCAGGAATTGATCTCCTGAGGATAAATACGTGGGTGGTACTGCCATCTGAATTCTGTGGCTAGTTTAATTACATTTTAATACTACCATTTTGTATTTCTCCCCATGGCCTTATATGTGCTTTTATTTGTGTCTGATGCATTTTATACACCACTCTGAATTTGTATGAAAAGAAAGTCTGTAAATGAAAAAAAACAACAATAGTGTTAGAAGTTCTTAATCTGGAAGCACCACTGTTTATACACATGTATCTTTTCCAAAAAAAAAAAAAGAAAGAAAGAAAGGAAAGGAAAGTAAGAAAAGGCAAGAGTTCTCCCTAAGTTGTCCGCCCTTGTTTACTCCACTTTATTTCAGAAGTTTCAATTATTAATCACAAACCCTCTTTTTAAAAAGCACATGCACACACTTATTGTCTTATGCACATTTGGTAATGCTCTCTGATGCGGGAGATGAGTGCATTATTCATTACATATTTGATTACCCTTCTTCTGGAGACTAATTTGATATACCCCATATATTCCGGCATATAAGACGACTGGGCGTATAAGACGACCCCCAACTTTTCCAGTTAAAATATAGAGTTTAGGATATATTTGCCATATAAGACTACCCTTCTTCCAACGCACACCAAATAAATTTTTTAAAAACATCAGATTTTATTTCAATATGGTAATTTTCCTATTATTGTACCTCATTCTCTGCCTCTCAGATCTTGCACCTGCACCGCTTCATTGCAGTATTCAGGAGTGAGAACTGAGACGCAGAGGAGGAGGTATGGTAATAGGATACAAAGGCGAGCCAGACAAGTAAAAGAGTTGTGTTTTTCTGGGCCCAGAGCCACTCTATCTCTTTTTTCCATACCCCGGGCACCCCGGATGCCTGCAGCTTGCTCCGCCCTTCACTTATACCTTCCCGGTGAGGCACCCCTTCACCTCACCATCAGGACCGCATTAAGTCCACAAATCCTGATGAATGGATTTTCTTCTACCGTACTTGTACAGCGTTGCCCTTAATGCTTCCATAGAGTAGCTGCATACAGCAGGGACATAGCAACTGCCATTTTTGAGCTCCCCCCACCATATGCGGCAACCACAGATTCTCCAATCCGATTGGAAGTTTCAGCACTTGCTCTATAAGACGACTCCTGGCATATAAGACTACTCTCGCATTTAAGATGACCCACATGTGTAAGGCTACCCCTGTGTATAAGACTACCCCGTGTATAAGGCTACTCCCATGTATAAGACTACCCTCATGTATAAGACTACTCCCATGTATAAGACTACCCCATATATAAGACTACCCCGTATATAAGACTACTCCCATGTATAACACTACCCCCGTGTATAAGACTACTCCCATGTATAAGATGACTCCGCATATAAGATGACCCCTGACTTTTGAGAAGATTTTCTTGGGTTAAAAAATAGTCTTATACACCAGAATATACAGTACCTATGTGACAGAAAAGCCACCGTTGACAGGCAGCTTCTTTTGCAACTCCTGTTAAGATTCTGAAATATCATGCAACCACCAATACGCAGGCAAATGGATATTTTAGTCTGAAATACACAATTGCTCTGATGATTAAGCAACATATTTATATCAAACCTATTTTTGCTGCTTTGGCAATCTATGGTCCTACAATCTCTTCCTCGCAGTCATAACCCTGCCTTCCTCCTCCACCCAGCATTTTTTTAAAATCATCATTTTGCAATTGTGTCAAAAATGAAAAAAGAAATAAAATAGAAGTAAAGAAATAGGAAAAAATTAAATATTTCATGCAGGAATCATACCCACTATTGCACTATAAGTAGGGAATGAAAAGCATTGGGAGTCATTGGCAAGTTTTTTTTCTCCAGTCAATGAAAAGAAAGACTACAGTCATGGAGGGAATACAAAGCTGAAGCAGGTTGTACATGACATTGTGCGATAATTACTGACAACATATGTGATTAGCTTGCTGAAATCCCACTTTGCCAGCCTCATGTGGTAAAGTTCTAGGTCAAGGGTCCTCAAACTTTTAAAGCATGGAGCCAGTTCTTAGTTCCTCAGACTGTCGGGGGGGGGGGGGGGGGGGGGGGGTTATGGTTTGGAAAAAAATGAACGAAGTCCTATGCACACTGCACATCTCTTATTTGAAGTGCAAAAAACATAGAAGATAAATACAATATTTAAAATGAAGAACAATTTCAATCAACATAAACTTACCAGTATTTCAATGGGAAGTGGGGGCCTGCTTTGGGCTGATGAGATAGTCAAGTTAATTAGGATTGTTGTTGTTTGCTTTCAAGTTGTTTCAGACTTAGGACAAGCCTAAGTATAAAGTTTAGGGCAGGGGAAGGGAAATGACCATGGAGGGCCACATCCGGCCCAGGGGAATTAGTTTGGGGACCCCTGGTCTACGTCCTCTAGTGCAACTCTATGGTATTCTTGGCCTGAGAGTTCTTTATTTCTGTAACATTTGCTATTATCCACAGTTTTGTGTCTCTGTGCAAAGTTCAGAAATATATTTCACAGAAGTTATGGGGATCATATTGTATAAAGAACTGGTGGCAACAATAACAACATATGCTACCTGACATAAATGTAAGGAATTTTGTAACATTGAAGCCGATCCTTCAGGTCCTTGGACTATATTTCTTAAGGAACTTTTAAAACAATTATTATGTTTTTTATACCTTGCTTTTTCTGTACACAAGGGCACTCAAAACAACTTCATTGTTCCAGAAGGAGATGTGATAATCTGTGTAATGTCTAGGGTGGGAGAAAGAACTCTTATCTGCTTGAGGCAAGTGTAAATGTTGCATTTAATGGCCTTGCAGCTTCAAAGCCTGCCTGGAGGAATCCTTTTTAGGGAGGTGATAGCTGGCCCTAATTGATTCTTGTCTGGGATTCCCCTGTTTTCTGAGTGTTGCTCTTTATTTACTATCCTGATTTTAGAGGGGTTTTTTAAAAAAAACTGGTAGCCAGATTTTGTTCATTTTCATGGTTTCCTCCTTTCTGTTGAAATTGTCCACATTCTTGTGGATTTCAATGGCTTCTCTGTTTAGTCTGACATGGTGGTTGTTCGAGTGGTCCAGCATTTCCGTGTTCTCAAAGAATATGCTGTGTCCAGGTTGGTTCATCAGGTGTTCTGCTATGGCTGACTTCTCTGGCTGAAGTAGTCTGCAGTGCCTTTCATGTTCCTTGATTCGTGTTTGGGCAATGCTGCGTTTGGTGGTCCCTATGTAGACTTGTCCACACCTGCATGGTACACGGTACACTCCTGCAGAGGTGAGAGGATCAAGGACAAAATTAATTCCAGACAAGAATCAATCAGGGCGAGCTAACACCTCCCAACAATGGATTCCCAGGCAGCAATCAGTCAGGCTTTGAAGCTACAAGGCCATTAAATGCTAATCAAGGTGACCAATGGCAACATTAACATTTGCCTCAAGCAGACAAGAGTTCTTTCTCCCACTATGGACATTCCACAGATATAGATACCTCACTTGCCTAGTTTCCAACAAACCTCACAATCTCTTATGATTTTTGTGCGTATATGTGTGGGTCAGGAGTGCCTTGAGAAACTGCAAGTCGCCTCTGGTGTGAGAGAATTTGCCATCTGCAAGGATGTTGCCCAGGAGACACCCAAATGTTTTGATGTTTTACCACCTTTGTGGGAGGCTTCTCTCATGTCCCTGCATGGGAAGCTGGAGCTGACAGAGGGAGCTCATCCACGCTCTCCTCAGATTCAAACCTCTGACCTGTCCGTTTTCAGTCCTGCCAGCACAAGGGGTTAACTGAGGGCCTTTCCACACAGCCCTATATCCCAGAATATCAAGGCAGAAAATCCCACCTTATCTGAATGTGGACTCAGATAACCCAGTTCAAAGCAGATATTGTGGGATTTTCTGCCTTGATATTCTGGGCTATAGGGCTGTGTGGAATGAGGATGCCTGCCACAGTTGTGGGCAAAACGTCAGGAGGAATACTTCTGAAACATGGCCATACAGCCCTGAAAACTCACAGCCACCTAGTTAAGAATGTGAAAGGGTCCTCCTCCCTAAAATGCAAGTCCCAGGCTTCCAGGGGAGGCAGGCACAGCAGTTAAAGTGGAACAGCAGGGTGGCAGAGGGGTGTGTGACCTCGCCTTGGAAAGCACAACCACAAGGAAGGCCATACATATAATGCACTGGCCATAAGATGAAGTCCCAAAGTCGTCATATGGCAGTGTAGAGGGGGGCTAAATCCCAAGCGTACTGTACTTAGGCGAGTTGGGAGAAGCCCTGCTGCGAAGCTGAGAAGGAGAGTAAAGGAATCTCAGAGAAGTTCTTGAAGAGGAGGAGAAGTTGGAGGAAGAGAAGGAGGGGAAGGGAGGCTCCAGGGAAGGCCCTCCCCTCCTGAGCGTGGCGGGGGCCCCTAGGGGTCGCTGGCGGGGCAAGGCAAGGAAGGCAGATGCGGGGAGGAGGGCGGAGGAGGAAGAGGAGGAAGAGGCGGCGGGGCGGAGAGACGCAAACAACTTTCTGCAGGCAGCGACCCGCCGCGCCGGAGCTGAAACCTGATCCGGGAGGAGCGCGGGGCAGGAGCCGGGAGGCAGGAGGCTCCAAGGAAGGAAGGAGGGAGGGAGAGGAGGAGAAAAGGAGGAGCTCGCCGCCGCCTCCTTCTCCTCCTCCATCCTCTTCTTCGTCCTCCTGATGGGCATCGCGGAGCCGGCGGTGGGCACCGGCGCCTGAGCGGAGGCGAAGAAGTTTCCCGCGGCTCCTCCTGGCCGGCCCTGGGAGCGGAGCAGGCGGATGGAGGATGCGCTCTCCCCGGCGGGCTGTCTGAGCAAGAGGCGGCGGCGGAGGAGAAGGCGGCGGAGGAGGAGGAAGCGGCGCGCCCCGCGGAGAGGAGGAGGATGAAGAAGAAGAAGCAGCAGCAGGAGGAGGAGGAGAAGCCCCCCTTGCAGCTCCAACTGCCGCCCTTCGGCGCCCCCTCGGAGCCCCCCCGGGCCGCCCATGCCTCCTCGCCCTCTTCGTCTTGCTCCTCGGGCTGCCCCGGGCCGGGGGTGGGCTGTCGGCGGCGGCGCCCTCTCTCCCTGCCCCGGCTGCCCTTCCCGTCCCTCCGCGACTACGGCTTCTGCATGGCCGCCCTGCTGCTCTTCTGCCTGGGCTCGCTCTTCTACCAGCTCAACGGGGGGGCCCCTCACTTTCTCCTGGACTTGAGGCACTACCTGGGTAAGGAAGGAGCAGGCGGGGAGAGCCGGCAAAGGCTGCGCTTCAGGCACTACTTGGGTTTTTTTTTCTTTTGTCGTGTCAGGAGCGACTTGAGAAACTGCAAGTCGCTTCTGGTGTGAGAGAACTGGCCATCTGCAAGGACGTTGCCAAGGGGACACCCGGAGGAAGGAAGGAGGATGCGGGCAGAGCGGGCAGAGGCTGGGCTTGGGGCACTACTTGGGTAAGAAAAGAGAATGGGGAGAGTGGGCAAAGGCTAAGCTTAAGGCACCACTTGGGTAAGGAAGGAGGATGGGGGAGGGGGGCAAAGGCTGGGCTTGGGGCAATACTTGGGTAAGGAAGGAGCATGCGAGGAGAGCGGGCAAAGGCTAGGCTTGGGGCACTACTTGGGTAAGGAAAGCGAATGGGGAGAGCAGGCAAAGGCTGGGCTTTGGGCACTACTTGAGTAAGGAAGGAGCATGTGGGGAGAGCGGACAAAGGCTGAGCTTTAAGCACTACTTGATGTTTTATCAAAGGCTGGGCTTGAGGCATTACTTGGGTAAGGAAAGGGGATGGGGGAAAGGGGGCAAACACACACCAAAAGGGGGTTGCTTGACTTGGCACCGTCTGGGCTGGGAAAGAAAGGAGCCTTCTCACCCTTGGGGAGCAGTTTTTCTCCTCCCTGAGCTGCCCACCCAAAGCCACAGGCTCTTCTTCTTTGGTGGGGAGCCATTGGGTTTTGGAGAGACACCCCTCAGACTCTTGACTCTCCTGATCACACACCAAGGGGCATCTTGTCACAGGCAGGAGCCTCTGCCCACCTGCTAAGCCAAAGCTGGAGGGAACTTTACCATCCCAAAAGTCGGAGGAAACTTAGCCATCACAAAGTAGTTGATGATGGCCAAGGAAAGAGGGTAGAACAGGCATGGGAGAACTTGGGCCCTCCAAGTGATTTGGACTTCAACTCCCACAATTTCTAATAACCTCAATCCCTTTCCTTTCCCCCCTCAGCCCAAGTTTGCCCATGCCTGAGGTAGAATGAGGAGCGGCTTAAAGAGCTGGGCATGTTTTGCCTGCAGAAGAGAAGGCAGAGAAGAGACATGATGGGCATGTATAAATATGTGAGGGGGAGTCATAGGGAGGAAGGAATAGTATTGTTTTCTGCTGCCCTGTAGACTAGGACATGGAACAATGGCTTCAAACTACAGGAAAGGAGAGTCCACCTGAACATTAGAAAGAACTTCCTAACTTGTGAGAGCTGTTCAGCGGTGGGACTCTTTGCTCTGGAGTGTGGCAGGGGCTTCTTCTTTGGAGGCTTTTAAACAGAAGCTGGATGGCCATATGTTGGGGGTGCTTTGAATGCAATTTTCCTGCTTTTTGGCAGGGGGTAGGGCTGGATGTGGCCCACGAGGTCTCTTCCAACTCAATGATTCCATGAATGATGTTTTCTCCCTACTTCATGAGTGTTGTTCTCTGTGTGCCCACAGTGGCCAATCTGTATATGAATACATTTTGCCATTTCTGATGCTTAAAATTATAATACAATACAATTCCTCCCTTATCCACAGATATCGACAGTTTCACTTACCCACACTCCACAATGCCCCTCCTCCCATACCCGGGCCTCTCTAAGTCCACTCATGCACTGCTTCTTGAACTGTGGATCCCAGCTCCAAATGGGTGTTAGGGAAAACAACCCTAAAATATAGCAGAGCATCCAAAAATCAACACGATACAAAAGTTGAGCGTCAACTCATTAGCAAGCAGAGCGTAAAGTGCCATGTGATGTGGATGTAAAGAATCCAGAGCTTAAGAGGCAAACATGCAGAGTCCAGTCTTTAAAATCACAAAGGGTTTATTTACAATAATAAGAAATAATTGCATTTCTTAATAATCAAGAGTTGAGTCTGAGCTACTCTTAACACCCATCTCTTCTAAAGTTTCAAGGAGAGGGGAAAACACCAATCACTGCATCTCTCTGACACACATGCAGAGAGAGAGAGAGAGAGAGAGAGATCTTAAAGCACTCCATTCTAAAGTTTAAGAAGACAAAAATCAGGTTCAGAAAGGCTTGCAATAGAAAATCTCCATTTTAAACTACCGATTGGAATGAGAGCAGAAACTGAGAAGAGAGAAGAAAAAGACATATTCCCAACAGTCAAACAGGAGACATGGGGGAAGGAAAACCCTTAGTCTATTCTAAAGCTAATTTCTCCTCATTGAGGACTACAGACTTGAGCAGTGTGGGGTTGAAGTCTAACAATGGAGTTCTCCTAGTTCAGTGTTGGGGTCTCAAAACAGGAAAAGGTTTCTTACCCTCAATCCCCTTGTGGCATTGTGTTGGGTAGTGTTTCTAGTGGCCTCTGCCTCATGAAAAGAATGAGCAAGTCTTGGGAATGCTGATTTGTTATTAGCAAATGTTTGGGTTTTTACATCTATTTTATATACCTGGGATCACATTAAAAATTTCTCAGGCAGAAAAGGGTTTGCAAGTGAAAAGTTTAACAAGCCTTCCTCTAACGCATGTCTGTGTTATGCTTCTGCCCCAGGAATAGTCAAAATGTGCACTGTTCCAGATCTCCCATCTTGGAGTATGTGCCCCACAGACATGGGCACATTTTGTTCTAAGAATAGAGCACCATCTCCTTTTTACTACACAATCACTATAATTTTCTTACATATGGCTTTTTTAAATATAATGTTTCTTAAGTTTTTAAGTGTCCATGAATAATAAAGAAAAAAACCCCAAAAAATAACAAATAAAAAAGATAATGAAAAAACTTGACTGAGCCACATCATATTTACACATGTGCTACCCCAAGAACCTTGCCCCCCTGTACCCACCCACCCCTATTTTGTGCCACCCGAAAAAGAAAAGGAAATAAATAAAAATATTAATAAAATCAGATTAAAAACTATGGCCTACTGGGGTTGGGTGGGAAAAACAGTGAGGGTAGGGATATACAGAGGTTAAAATAAGGAAAAGATAGGGAAGGATACTATACTTGGGGTATAATTGAACTTCCAATCTTCCTTATCATGAATACTGTCTCTTACATGTGCCTTTACTACGAAATATGTGCTACCTTCTTCTTGTTGGGATCACAATCCACAGAGGTGGGGAGCCCACTCATAACAACTGTTGCTGCCAGTAAAGAAGTGTTTTCAAAACTAATTTCCTGTGTATTAAGCATCATTGTACGCATGGCATCTGTTCCCTTGTAGTATCCTGGAACAGAAATAACATGAGCCTAAAGCATTCTCAGCCATTGCTTGCCCACTTTGCAAGAGTCCACGAGGGCTGTGTAGCTGATGTGTAACATTTTTTTCTGGTTAGTTGCTATTAGTTAGGACTCAAGATGACAACCCTATGAGTAAGAGGCCTCTAAGAACCTTGGTTATTAAGAGTTCAGATCCTTCCTGTGTATTAAGGCTATCATTCTTATGATTTGTCTTCAGTGGACATAGAATCATAGAGTTGGAAGAGACCTCGTGGGCCATCCAGTCCAACCCCCTGCACAGAAGCAGGAAAATCGCATTCAAAGCACCCTCGACAGATGGCCATCCAGCCTCTGCTTAAAAGCCTCCAAAGAGAGTTACACTGCTGAACAGCTCTCACAGTTACGAAGTTCTTCCTAATGTTCATGTGGAATCTCAAACAACCTTGCTCTGTCCTCCCTATTTATGGCCATATTTATATATGGCCATCATGTCTCCTCTCAGCCTTCTCTTCTGCAGGCTAAACATGCCCAGCACTTTAAGCCGCTCCTCATAGGGCTGGTTCTGCAAAACCTTTATCATTTTAGTCACCCTCCTCTTTGGCACATTCCAGCTTGTCAACATCTGCTTTAAATTGTGGTGCCCAGAATTGGACATAGTTAATCAAGGCATCTCTTTTAGATATGGAATGACCAGTCCTCCCCCTCACACCCAGTGGTTTTATTTTATTTAATTTATTTATTTTGGTATCACCACTATACCAATTTATATACCAAGAACAGATGGTATGCTTATTCAATTGTATTCAGGTTAGTTTCCATGTGGTTCTTCTGTCATAGAGTTGGGAGTAGGGAAGAGTGTCCTTTCAGTCACCCTTGGCCTGACTGCAAAATAAATCATTGTGATTCACGATTAGTCCCAGTGGTAAAATAAAGATGAGCAATAGATTGCCAGTTGGAATTCAGAGCCTGCAAGAAATCCAAATGACAGTAACTCTGGATAAATGGACTATAATGAACCATACAAATAGAAATGATGCAAGAACACATTGGAAAGGAGGAGGTGGTGCTATAGTAGACTTACATTCTAGTACAGTTGGAACAGGACAGGAGCAATTTTGCATGGTCTGCAATATAATTGCTTTTATTCAACAGGAGGTCAGCCGTGCGTCCTCAAGGATAGCACGTGCAGAGCAGCGCCTGTGGCGTAAACAAGGTTTTTGTATTCCCAGATTCTGTGTGGCTTTTTACTCTTTTGCGACTGTATGTATGTGTTGAAATGCTGTTCAACAAGCATGTTTTCTCATTTCACGAGACAATTTATGTGCATTTTTTCCTACCTGAAGTGATCTTTTTGAAAGCGGTTGCAGATGAAATGATCCTTAAAGATATAAGCAGCCAAGTACTTCAATTTCAATACTTCACTTCTTTCCTTACACTATTTAGTCACCTGCTGTTTGTTTGGGCTTAGTTGTTAACCTTGTTTCTTTCCTCCAGTCTCGTAATTGATTTGGTATAGAATCAAGTGTGTCTTTATAAATAAAGCATCTCTTTTCATCTTCAGCATGTTGTGCTGGGTTGACAGTAACATCTTTGCCTGTTTGTCATAAGGTAGAGGCAAAGGTTTCCCCTCGACATTAAGTCTAGTTGTGTCCGACTCTGGGGGGTGGTGCTCATCTCAGTTTCTCAACTGAAGAGCCGGCTTCCCACAGAAGCACTACCTATTGATCTACTCACATTTGTATGTTTTCGAATTGCTAGGTTGGCAGAAGCTGGGGCTAACAGCAAGATCTCACCCTGCTTTCT